GGAACCACAGCCTGATGAAATGGAATAAAATATTTAAATTTTAAAAAATAAAAAAACACGAAACGAAACAATGTCAAGCAGAAAGCTAGAAATTATTGTTTTTAAAAAATATACATTTTAGTTTTTTTTTCGAAACTAGGCCAGGCCAATTTCGAAAGAATGATGGAAAGTGAAATTTTGAAAAAATAAAAATGAATAAAAAAAATAAAAACAGCAAATAAAAATAATAATTGTTATATGACATTACTCTCGTCCACCCTCTCCCATTTAACACAATATAGCAAAGTGATAGACCGCCCCTTACCCTCTCCGCCATGTAAAATTTTCCCCGTGTTGGAAAACGCCGCCACCCACTCACTCTTCGTCGCTGTACCGTCAACAATACCTCTTACGGTTGCCGAGTCCTCGGCGAAGCCAACAGTTCCCGTAACATTTCTCCCAACCATCGTGGACGGCGACGTGATGACGTGAGTGATGGACGTGGAGTAAGGCATGGTGGTGGATGTGAGCTCGAGGGTTGCAACCTCCTCATACGGTGCCGTCTCGGTGAGATTTGGTCGCTGCGTTGTCGCGTTAAAGTCGGTGGTTTTTTTTAGCGTTGACGACAACGTGGTCGAAAAGTCTATGGACTCGTTTGACGGACTCTCGCTGTCAGAAACGTTGGCTGTTTCGGCCAGCAAATGCTTGACTATGAAGAAGATTACAACAAGTATGATCAACGAGGGCATGGAGCGCAAATACATTTACAAGCAAAAGGAACTGGCAAGGCATTTGTTTTTAAATTTTTAGGGGGAAAAAAATGGAGGGACGGCATTCTTGAATGCACCACCACAATCTGGTGCTGTGTACGCACTGAGGAATATCCGATAGTACGCACATTTATATTTAAAAAAAAAAAATAAATAGTTGTTTATAGGCAGATAGAGTTGTACGACTTTTTAAAATTAAATCCTTTATATAAACTTCGCTTTTGTTCGTGTTTCTGGCAGGGGGGCAAAATCTTCGGACGCCTAATTGAACCACTTCTCGTCAACCTATCGAACTGAAACTTGGCACTTAGACCGTTGCCTATGACAACTCATTATATCAAATTTTCACCCCCAGCCCCAAAAAATAATTTTTCCTGTTTTTTTTGTTTCAATGGAAAGATGAAGAAAATATGATGACACTGATTTCACGAAATAAAATTAATAACTGCGCTATATGATATTCTTTGAAAAATAAATATCGCAAATGCGTTTCTGATTCTGATAGGATACGTTGCTGCAACCAAGTCCTGGCATTTGTGCAACGGTTTAGGAAACGGTGCGGCCATCCTAACGGCTCCTAGCGGGTGCCAGGGCAGCCTTGAAACTCTCGATTGATGTCAAGTCCACGGCGGCATTGTCCAGTTGGTTCCAAGCAATTATTGTTCGTGGGAAGAATGATTGTTTATTTTGAACTGTGTTACACCGAGGCACAGGGAAGCATTTATCATTGTTCCGGATGTAACTGCTCAAATGGAGTTGTCAGAGGTGAAGTCAGTGTTTATTGAGCGTTTGGCTCTGATTAGGCGATCTGTCCTCTGCGGGGTAAGATACGTCTTAGCTGGGATGGCCGGCACTAGCCACGTGACCACTTTATAGAGAAATGTTAGACGGAGCTTTTCTCGTCTGTCTTTGAGGGAGGGGATGTCAAATCTTTTTAAATGGTCAGTGACGAAGCCAGGAGTGGTGGATTTGTATTCACTTGCGATGAAGCGCACTGCGTTGCGTTGTATTCGCTCAATTTTGTCTTGCTTTAGATAATATGGGTCCCAGATTATCGCACCATACTCTAGTAGTGGACGGACGAGTGCGAGATAGGCATTTCGTTTGCAAGATGTTGGGCAGTGGCGCAGATTTCTGTGGATGAAACCTCGGGTGGAGTTGGCCTTTTTTTAAACCTTTGTTTATATGCGAGGACCATTTTAGATTATTCGAGAAAAGAATTCCAAGGTATGGATGGATGATTGGATACTTGTTGGAGAATGGTCTTGTTTACAGAGTACATATAGGTTGATGGTTTTTTTTTCTTGAGATGCTCATTGTGTATCATTTGATTTCGTTAAATTTCATGCCCCATTTGTCCGCCCATTTCATAAGGCAGTTAAAATCTGCTTGGAGATGGTTGAGGTCATCGTAGCCATTTATCTCTCCGTAGACAAGACAGTCATCTCCAAACAGCCTCACTTGAGATTTTACAGTATCAGGGAGGTCGTTTATAAGACAGAGGAAGAGAAGGGGGCCCCAGCACTGTACCCTGAGGAACTCCTGAGTCCTGAGTCTACAGTGGCTTTGCTTGATCGGACGCCATCCACCACGACTTGCGTGGTCCGTTGTGTTAGGAATGTTGAGAGCCAGGAGTGAAGCTTGCCGGTAATTTTGGTGCAAACTATTTTCTTCTGTTTTTCTGAACTAGTTGATGCCATAAATCTGCGGTTTAAAAGCGGGGGTGGGGGGGGGGGGGGGGGGGGGGGGGGGGGGGGGGGGGGGGTCTTGAGAAGATTAAAATCAAATAAAATTTTAAAAAAATGCATGCAAACAATTTATCAGAAAACCTTGGTTTATAGGGTCTCTGCCTCAACTGGCGTCCATGGAGCGCTTATCGAAAATAGGCTACGGAGCTGGGCAACAGAGCTGGGCTAAAGAGATGGGCCACAGAGATGGGCTACAGAGATGAGCTACAGAGCTGGGCTACAGAGCTGGGCTACAGAGATGGGCTACAGAGATGGGCTACAGAGATGGGCTACAGAGATGGGCCAGAGAGATGGGCTACAGAGATGGACCACAGAGATGGGGCACAGAGCTGGGCTACAGAGATGGGCTACAGAGATGGGCCACAGAGCTGGGCTACAGAGATGGGCCACAGAGATGGGCCACAGAGCTGGGCTACAGAGACGGGCCACAGAGATGGGCTACATAGATCAGCCAAAGAGATGGGCACAGAGCTAGGCCACAGAGATGGGCTACAGAGTGGGCCACAGAGCTGAGCTGCAGAGGTGGGTTACAGGGCTGGGTTACAGAGTTAGGCTACAGAGATGGGCTACAGAGATACGTTACAGGGCTGGGTTACAGAGCTGGGCTACAGAGATGGGCCACAGAGCTGAGCTACAGAGATGGGCTACAGAGATACGTTACAGGGCTGGGTTACAGAGCTGGGCTGTCATCATATACTCACCCCGATTCCTACAATTTCAATTTCCTATAATACATGTTCAGCTAAGAGGACCTTTGGTTTAAAAAATATATTTTTTCTCACATCTTCCGTCCGCCTCTAAAGGTGAGAGGGGGGGAGGAGGGGGGGGGCTTCTCGAGGAGCTTCAGTTGGTGATCTGACGCGAGGTGCGATTGAGGTGATATGACGCAAGGTGTGAGTGAGGTCATCTCATGCAAGGTGTGAGTGAAGTGATCTGACGCAAGGTGTGAGTGAGGTGATCTGATGCAAGGTGTGAGTGAGGTGATATGACGCAAGGTGTGAGTGAGGTGATATGACGCGAGGTGTGAGTGAGGTGATATGACGCGAGGTGTGAGTGAGGTGATATGACGCAAGGTGTGAGTGAGGTGATCTGACGCAAGGTGCGAGTGAGGTGATCTGATGCAAGGTGTGAGTGAGGTGATCTGATGCATGGTGTGAGTGAGGTGATCTGATGCAAGGTGTGAGTGAGGTGATCTGATGCAAGGGGTGAGTGAAGTGATATGACGCAAGGTGTGAGTGAGGTGATCTGATGCAAGGTGTGAGTGAGGTGATCTGATGCAAGGTGTGAGTGAGGTGATCTAATGCAAGGTGTGAGTGAAGTGATCTGACGCAAGGTGTGAGTGAGGTGATCTGATGCAAGGTGTGAGTGAGGTGATATGACGCAAGGTGTGAGTGAGGTGATCTGACGCGAGGTGTGATTGAGGTGATATGACGCAAGGTGTGAGTGAGGTGATCTGACGCAAGGTGTGAGTGAGGTGATCTGATGCAAGGGGTGAGTGAGGTGATCTGATGCAAGGTTGTGTGAGTGAAGTGATCTGACGCAAGGTGTGAGTGAGGTGATCTGATGCAAGGTGTGAGTGAGGTGATATGACGCAAGGTGTGAGTGAGGTGATATGACGCGAGGTGTGAGTGAGGTGATATGACGCAAGGTGTGAGTGAGGTGATCTGACGCAAGGTGTGAGTGAGGTGATCTGATGCAAGGGGTGAGTGAGGTGATCTGACGCAAGGTGTGAGTGAGGTGATCTGATGCAAGGGGTGAGTGAGGTGATATGACGCAAGGGGTGAGTGAGGTGATATGACGCAAGGTGTGAGTGAGGTGATCTGACGCAAGGTGTGAGTGAGGTGATCTGACGCAAGATGTTATTGAGGCGATCTTGCGCAAGGTATGAGTGAGGCGATCTGACTATTACAGACCCAACACAGCAGATGAACCAAGCTTGAGGAGGCTTGATGTGTCACTTCAGAGAGCAATTCAGTCGAAGAACGCTTTTTTCCTTATATGTGGGACATTTCAACTTTCCTGGTTGGTACTGGCAGATTTGTGCCTTGAAGCCCAGGTCCTACGTCCTGACTTTATGGAGATAATTAACAACCATGGTCTGGTACAGATGGTTAAAGAACCCTTGCGAGGGGAAAACACTCTCGACCTACTCCTCACTAACATTCGACATCCCATCCCAAAAGTTGAGGTTATTCCCGGGTTATCAGACCACTGCATATCATACTGCGAATTTCAAGTCAGCGCACTAAAAAAGAAGCAGGCGATGCCATAAATCCCCATTGATGCCAAGGCAGACTGGGATAGCCTGAGAAGAGCGATGACAGATCTGAGCTTAAACATGCATGGGATTCAGGGTAATGCAACCACAGAAGAGCTGTGGTTGAAGTTCAAGACAACAATCACTGATGCAGTGAAGAAATTCATACCACACAAGACCTCCAGACCTAAGACAAATCAGCCATGTGTCACGGCTGAAATCCGAAGGCTCATACACAGGAGAGATCTGATGTGCTTGTGCTGGAATTCTAAAAGGCGTTTGACCGTGTCAACCATAGCTTGCTATTACACGAACTGCAGATTTGGAATCCAAGGCACTAAAAAAACATGGATTTCTAGCTTCTTCCGCGACTGATGCCAGGCAGTAGTGGTAGATGGCACAACCTCCTCTTTGTCGGTGTGAAGTCAGAATTTCCCTAAGGGTTGGTGCTAGCCCCTGTTTGTTCCTAGCATATATCAATGATCTTCCCGAGGAGCCAGTGGCGTAGCGAGGGTGTTTGGCGCCCGGGGACAAGATTCGCGCCCGGGGACAAGATCCATTTTTAGCGCCCCTTTTTCTTTTTTTCAACTCTCAAAACCTTTATTTTCATCAATAAAATAATATCAAAGCACATTTTGGCGCCCCTAACTAGCTGGCGCCCGGGGAAATCTGTCCCCCCCTGCCCCCACCACGCTACGCCTCTGCGAGGAGCTGACCTCTCAAGCAAGAATGTTCGCAGAGACACGGCGGTGTATAGGACGATCGCCAACAGTTCTGAACAAGACCAGCTACAACAGGATCTCAATCGGTTAGCAGATTGGGAGATGAGCTGGGTCATGGAATTTCATCCCGTCAAGAGTCAGACCCTGTCGGTTTCTAGAAGCAGATCCTCTCTACACCACTCTTACGAATTGCATGGTCATATTCTTGAGCAAGTTTCCTCCGTTAGGTACCTAGGTGTTACCATTTAAAGAGAGCTCCACTGGGACGAGCGCATTTTAAATGTGTGCAACCTGGCCAACAAGACCCTGGGGTTCCTAAGGCTAAATCTGAAGATCGGCAACTCAAGCGTGAAAGAAAAAGCCTACAAAGCCTTTGTCCGGCCGCTTTTAGAGTACGCATCTACAGTCTGGGACACATTTACCCAGAAAAGCATCGACAGATTGGAGGCGGTCCAGCGACGGGCAGCACGCTTTGTCATGAACTGCTACAGAAACACCTCAAGTGTTGGCAGCATGCTGGAAACACTGGGCTGGTCACCATTGGAAGAACGACGACGACTATCCAGGCTCACCATGTTGTACAAGATAAAAAAAAATGGGCTGGTCCACTGCTCTTGCATCAACAGAAAGTCGCCCATGTCCCCCGCCCCCCCCCCACACCCCGACCCCCAGACAGCGATGATGCCACGACAGGCAGTTCCGGCTAATAAAAACAATAACTCAGTACAGGAGCTCCTCATTCCTGCCAAAGACAGTAAGGGACTGGAACAGGCTTCCAAAAGTAACAGTTGAGGCGACTACACTTGACACATTTGCGTCTATTGCCTCCTGTCTTTCAACCCCCAGTTCATAATACCACTGCGGAGTAGCACTTTCAACCGGCGACGTAACTCTTTGAAAACCATACACAATATCATCGCAAACCCCTCTGAAACATAGGAGCCATACGATCAATTCATTGATCGTGGGCCCTAAAAATATAGAAGAAGAAGACGCAACGTGTGAGTGAGGCCTGTTGAGATGATCTGACGCAACGTGTGAGTGAGGCCTGTAGAGGTGATCTGACGCAACGTGTGAGTGAGGCCTGTTGAGGTGATCTGACGCAACGTGTGAGTGAGGCCTGTTGAGGTGATCTGACGCAACGTGTGAGTGAGGCCTGTTGAAGAGATCTGACGCAACGTGTGAGTGAGGCCTGTTGAGGTGATCTGACGCAACGTGTGAGTGAGGCCTGTTGAGGTGATCTGACGCAACGTGTGAGTGAGGCCTGTTGAAGAGATCTGACGCAACGTGTGAGTGAGGCCTGTTGAGGTGATCTGACGCAACGTGTGAGTGAGGCCTGTTGAGGAGATCTGACGCAACGTGTGAGTGAGGCCTGTTGAGATGATCTGACGCAAAATTTTGAGTAAGGCGATTTGACGCAATGTTTCATTGAGACCTGCAGAGGTGATCTGACACAAGGTGTGAGTGAGGCCTGCTAAGGTGATCTGACGTAATGTGTGAGTGAGTTAATCTGACGCAAGGTGTGAGAGAGGTGATCTGACGTAAGGTGTGAGTGAGGTCTGCTGAGGTGATCTGACGCAAGGTGTGAGTGAGGTGATCTGACGTAAGGTGTGAGGTAGACCTGCAGAGGTGATCTGACGCAAGGTGTGAGTGAGTTAATCTGACGCAAGGTGTGAGAGAGGTGATCTGACGTAAGGTGTGAGTGAGGCCTGCTGAGGTGATCTGACACGAGGTGTGAGTGAGGCCTGCTAAGGTGATCTGACGTAAGGTGTGAGTGAGGTGATCTGACGTAAGGTGTGAGTGAGGTGATCTGACGTAAGGTGTGAGTGAGGTGATCTGACGTAAGGTGTGAGTGAGGTGATCTGACGCAAGGTGTGAGTGAGGTGATCTGACGTTAAGTGTGAGTGAGGCCTGCTGAGGTGATCTGACGCAAGGTGTGAGTGAAGTGATCTGACGTTAGGTGTGAGTGAGGTGATCTGACGTAAGGTGTGAGTGAGGTGATCTGAAGTAAGGTGTGAGTGAGGTGATCTGACGTAAGGTGTGAGTGAGGTGATCTGACGTAAGGTGTGAGTGAGGTGATCTGACGTAAGGTGTGAGTGAGGTGATCTGACGTAAGGTGTGAGTGAGGTGATCTGACGCAAGGTGTGAGTAAGGTGATCTGACGTAATGTGTGAGTGAGGCCCGCTGAGGATTCATGTTGTGAACTTTTAGGATGCCCTTAACAATTTCGATCCACCAACCTCGTAGTCTTCCTCTGGCACTCAGACAGCACTGCCTGCTGCTTTAAGCTTGCAATGCAAGTTTGTTAGACAGGCAGGTGGTCAATCAAATTTATCTTGCTGTTGGGGTCAAATATTGGCTGATTGGGATGGCATCAACCATGCATTTTGTTTTTCCTGGTTCCCAATGTTGTTTCGTGTCACCAGCTTCTCGCCATAGGCGAGGAATTTTTATAGAGCCTTTTATTCAGAGCGCAGTTCTGACACTGTTAAGTAAGGGTCAGAATAACGAGTGTGTTGATTATGCTGGCTTTGGCCTCCATCTTGATTCTTATAGGGTGTCTTAGTGGGGTGGGTGGGGGCTATTAGGTAACTGCCCTATTGTCTTTATATATATTTCTGTCATCGTCCGTTATCTTCTATTATTCTCAATTAAAAAAATCGAATACCCGTAATCGAAAAAGGCAATGTTGACATTAGTCTTAGCTATAAATACAACAGTCTCAGTTATGTTGACAGTTCACACAAATAAATACAGTCTCAGTTATGTTCACAGTTCACACAAATAAATACAGTCTCAGTTATGTTCACAGTTCACACACATGCTTCACGCTAGTGGATAAAAGAACAATTAAAACAAACTTAAACAAATCATTATGTTTTAACATCATTAAAATACTTTATTGCAAATGGTCAGAATTTTACAACAAGGGCAGTAACAGTGCATGTATTTAAAATAAAAAGCATTACAGTTACGTCCTTTGCTGGCGCATGATGAACTGCACCAACTCAAAACATATGTATTATAAGACTGTAGGTCAAAGGACAAGAGTTAACACATTCAGCAATCCAACACATTGGACAGATTGCCAGGGTATATTTGGGTAGTATCAGATGAATGACAGACAAATATTTAGATTCAGGATCCTTCAACCAACCAGCAGTAAACAAAATCTTTTAACACGTTAGGCTTTGTGACACCTATCACAAGAACTGGCTTGTGACAACTATCACAAGGACTGGCTTGTGACAACTATCACAAGAACTGGCTAACAATTTCAAGATAAGAGAAAGAAATGAAGTCATGAAAGCTTCTTGAGTAGATTTTATCTGAGAAGTTCGGAGAAAAATGAACTAACCAACAGACAAAGCAATGTTTAAAGATAAACTCTGTTTATAATATTAATATTAACTTTGTGTGTGATGTATTCCCCCCCCCCCTTTCTTCAAATTCATATTTAAAAAGAAAAAAGTAACCACAACTAGTAATAAAGAATTCCAAATCCTTTTTAGGGCATCATTTCTGCCTTCATACAGAAAATGAACACCCCATACATAGCCTAATAGTTCATCAAGGGAATTTAGGAATTTGAAGGAAAAAAGGTCCAGTAATGCTTAGGAATGAGAATGCACGAGTACTAAAATATATCATCTTAAATAAGACATAATGAATCTGTCAAGCAAGATTGGATTAAAAACTTTCCATGCACATTACACAAATCCTCGACTCACAACCCCAAAAAATAAAGGCATTCCCATATGATCAACACTTGACATAGAATATAAGACAGGACAAAGTAACCGAGGCATTCCCATATGATCTTCACTTCAAATAGAATATAAGACAGGACAAAGTAACCGAACGTGTTTTAAATTTGCTTTATGGGGCAATTAATTTAAAAAAATGTTAAAACCACTTTGACTCCTTTCATTTAGTTCTATAAGGGGCTGCAGGCATTCATTGAAAAGAAACAAAAATTGAATCTGATGGGGCCGGCTTCTGTAGTAACAGATTGGAATTGACAAAGAAATGTAATGACATATTTTTTTAATTGAATAAAACATCTTAATAAGCTCCCGAGGAAGAAAAGGAAATTTTATGATTGTCTTTTGACAAGAGGTCAGTGATCTCTTTACACTCACAACAATCATCTAACATTTCTAAAAAAAATTTAAGACAATTAATTGCTCATATCATAGCCATTTTATACCAATCAACTTAAAAAAAGAAATTTTTTATTTACAGAACACACTATGTCGTTCAGAGAACCGAGTACCAGGTAACAGTACAAGATTTTAAAAAAACACACAAAAATTCTGTGATTCAGTTTAGTTCCTTCTGATGTAATAATAATAATAATAATAATAATAAGGGGTCTTATATAGCGCAGTACCTTCTGTTAATTTTAGAGATCAATATTAAAAAACCAATTCAGAGGAAAGCTTTAGAAAAGTTGAGAAGCAAACATATATTAAGTGCACAAAAATATTCAAATAAATTAAATTAAAATTGCAACAAAGGGAGAGCAAATAAATGAAAGACTGAATGCAAAGCATACGTAATAAAGTAAAACCAAGCAGACAGAGATTTCTTATCCATCTCCTCTCGTCTTCTCACTGAAGTAAAACAATAAATAATTAAAGATCTGTCAAATAACTTTAAAATAAAGTTTACTTTCCACATTTCAAAACTGAAATGCCATTTCCTTTCTATTTTTCAATATTACAAATTCAGAGAGTAATATCCTATTAACACATTTTTTTTTTTACTGTCTAGTAAAAATAAAAGTAGTACCGGTATAGCTCTTGCATATTTAATGAAAGTACAACTTCACTATCCAGTGGAGCTGCCAGGACATCACTCAATGTGTCAGACATCACTCAATGTGTCAGACATCACTCAATGTGTCAGACATCACTCAATGTGTCAGACATCACTCAATGTGTCAGACATCACAAAATCAAGCTATTAAAAAGCCATCACAAAATAATCCTAGTTTTGTTTAAATAACGCATTGAGTCTTACAAAATGAAGGAAACAAAAGGTAAGAAAACATAGGACAACACTTTGTACACAAGGCTATTGGACATAATAGCAACTCAAGCGTGAAAGAATAAGCCTATAAAGCCTTTGTCCGGCCTATTTTAGAGTACGCTTCTACAGTCTGGGACCCATTTACCCAGAAAAGCATCGACAGGTTGGAGGCGGTCCAGCGACGGGCAGCACGCTTTGTCATGAACCGCTACAGAAGCACCTCGAGTGTTGGTAGCATGCTGGAAACACTGGGCTGGTTAGCATCGACAGGTTGGAGGCGGTCCAGCGACGGGCAGCACGCTTTGTCATGAACCGCTACAGAAGCACCTCGAGTGTTGGTAGCATGCTGGAAACACTGGGCTGGTCGACATTGGAAGAACGACGACTATCCAGGCTCACCATGTTGTACAAGATAACAAATGGGCTGGTGCACTGCTCCGGAATCAAACAGAAACTCGTTCATCTTCCCCCCAGACTGCGACGAAGTCACGACAAACAGTTCCGGCTGGTAAAAACAAGAACAAAGTACAGAAGCTCCTCATTCCTGCCGAAGACAATAGGGGACTGGAACAAGCTTCCAAAAGCAACAGTTGAGGCTGCTACATTCGAGACATTTGTGTCTATTGCCTCCTGTATTCCAACCCCAGTTCATAACAACACTGCTGAGTCGCCCTCGAAACCAGTGAAGTATCCCATTGAAACCCATGGACAGTAACATCGCAAACCCCTCTGAAACATAGGAGCCAGAATGATCAATTCATTGATCGTGGGCCCTTAAAATAAAGAAGAAGAAATAGTTTATTTTCTTATTTAAACATAGGGGGAGCAGTTAATCAATTTTGGCAGACATCACAACAAGCAGTGGTATGACAATAAGATGGCATTTGAAAATGACAAATTTGTGGGATTCCTGATATTGCTGTTGCTAAAGTAAAATTTTTACAAATCTCAATTCATTAATAGCTATCGTACAAAAACTTCTAAAAAAATATGTCACTATTTACAAATAATTGTGGGATAGCTATTCTTGTAGTATGAATATATACTAGGAACATGTTTCAATGTATTTTTAAACAGCTAACAGAGATGGTGACTAAGATGGATTCAAAGAACAAGTAATGGTTTAAAAAAATGAGACACATTCTGTAAATGAATAAAGTCATTAGAAATCCATGCTTCCACAATAATATTTACACCTTTACATAAACAGAGCTAAACGCAAAAAATTTAAAGACAAGGTTGTTGAACAGTACAGGAATATTCTCATATACAGGTGGGTCAAAAACTAGACCAGTGTGAAACAAATCCCTATTTAAGCTTGCGCAGTACATATGGTGTGCCTAAACAGCATGCTTATTTTAAGCCTAAAATAACATTACAAAGGTGAAATGTGTGGCCGTCAAGCAGGAGCATGACATGTTGAATATCACATAATGATCATTGTGAATAATTTAAATTCAACTTTAAATTGAGTTTTCCTTCATTATTATCATACATTTTTTCAATTTACTGGAAATGACACCCATCAGATTTCTCAAGTTAAAGTTACCTCCTAAATCTTAAAGTTGAGGAACAGACAGTGTTTGGAATTGCAAAATATACAACAATATTTCCATAAAGGAAAAATGTTAGGGAAATCTGTCTGTGTAACACAGGAGCTGTACTTTGTTATTTTTGTGTTTTCCACTGTGACCAACTTTTAGGGGTGATTTTTTAGGTGTTGAACAGAAATATATTATCTCAAAATTGAGAGCAAAACACATACAAATACTCATATTTTCACTATTTTAATTCCTTTGATGTAATTTTAAAAATGTGAGAGAGGCTCCCCCAATATTAATAGTGGGAAAAAAAAACATCAAATGAATATGTTTGAAATTTTGATTTCAGGTGATACTAACAATTACTCTTCTAATTTTTATTGAGGCACATGAGCCTTGTGGTAAACCATTTTGAAATTCAAATATGAAAACACAATAATCTAAAAATAAATGTAATGCACTCATTTCAAGCTTTTCTTTAAGAGAAAAAGCTGTTGTAAAAATGAATGCCCATAACATGAAACACTGTCTTTTTTCTGGAAGTGAAATAAATCCTTAGTGGTCAGTTGGAATTTTATTTGAAAAAAATGAAACCAAATGAAAGTTTAAAAGAAACCAATGACAAGAAAATCTTAACATGTAGCAAAATGGGAAAATTTCTAAAGGGAAATCTAATTTACATCAAAATAAAGAACTTTTGTTTTAGCATTATAACAATAGTCATTTGCATTGTATTTCTATGTAGACTTAAACAGGTTTTGGATTTGTGCTGCATGAAAAATATGACATCTCCGTATACATCAACAACTCAATTTAAAAAAACAAAAAGCAAATTTCTCTTGATTAACATAATATATGATGTAAGCTTAACTTAAATTGAAAATGTTGCTAAGTTTAAAAATACTGAGAACAGCGCCATGAGGAGCATAGATTTCTATGAATGAATTTAACAAGAGGGCTTCAAAATGAGATTGACTGCATCATGCTGTGTGGTAGTAGCTTGATGGCAGAGTTGCTAGTTAAGATCTTTTCAAAATGTGGCCTAGAATACATAATGGAGTTCATTTTTTTGCTTGAAAAGTTGATACATTTTTTTTATTAAAAAGCTGAAATACTTGAGAATACAAATCTAAGAAGCTGAGCATAATTTTTTCCTTGTTTCTCTTTACTTACAATCTGTTTTGTCACATTTCTTAAAATAAAATAATATTTTCCATGTACCAGCGTAACATTTCATTACAATATTATTTGCAGTAGCACAAAAAAATTATTGATATATTATTTCATTTAAGATTCGAAATGTTTAGCATGTCAACTCAAATGTAGCATGGAGTATGCAGTTTTTAATTTTCTTGTTTAAAATTTAAAAAAATAATTTTAACAGCTCTTTTGACAGTTTGCTGTAATTTTATGGTGAGAGACAAAAGCATAAAAAAAAGAAAAGCAATTTAAGAATAAAAAGAAAACTATCCTTTACAAGCTTGAAAATTCCTGTAACTCAAAAAAACAACAAAAAACATTATATGAACAAATTGCATTGATCTAAGAGATCCACGCAAAAAGAAAAAAGAAAAAGTAAATCTGGTGACTCTAGAACATGAGTATTTACAATGACAGAGTGGAAATGGTGCACATGTACCTTGCACATTATGGAAATGGTGCACATGTACCTTGCACATTAGATCAAAATGAGACAGAGAAAACATCAGCATTGTTTCCAACATTTTAAAATAAAAGAGCTCTGTATATTTTAGAATGTAATAAGTACAACTGCACATGTGGCACGGGTATGAAAGCTTTTAAATAAAGAGTGGAAAATACCATCATGATGCTTCTGCGACGTTAAAATTTCTACTTGAGTGCTACTGTCATTCAATAAAGATGTTACATCAGCAAAAGAATTAATGATCTCTATTATTCAAACTTAAATGCGAAGAAATTTCCCTTTCTTTTTTCTTCCCTTAAATGTTTACCATGTTAACGCTGTGATTTTTAATTGTAAATACTTTTTACATTGCAGCAAAACTATTTCAATTTTTTTATTTACCCTAACAGATAAAGGCCGTAAAAAAAAAAAGGTCAATTCTAGAATCGATTGAAAGATTCGGGGAATGGACAATTTAAAACAACAAGACGATGCAGGGGGACATTTGTAAGCAGAGGAGGGTGAGGAAAGACATCTTTTAAACCTCCATCAAGTGTTATGGTCCATCAAAAATTCAAGACACAAAAATAAGTGTTACCTCCCATCATCATTATCAGCAGCGTTTCAGAAGATAACTCACTATAATCTGTTCAAGAATACTTAATACAAAGATTCAGCACTGTTAAGATGATCTTTCGTCCATATGGTATGCAAATATCAATTCATTTGCCAGCTTTATTTGTCAAGAAGGTGATGGCCATTCAGCCAGCAATATATAGAACCTGAGATCAACTTGTCTGATACGTTGTTAGAAGAGCTGCATCCACCGGCTCCATGCAACTGGGGCAAGTAAAGGACCTCATCAGCCAGTCATCAATACATTCTTTGTGGTATGTGTGCATGCAGGGGAGGTAACGCAGCTGCTCGCCGAAGAGAAATTCATTCATACAAATGACACACCTGGTGGAAATAGATTTTAAACGAGATGTTATTCCTCTGAATTTCAAGTAGAAAACATTGAGAATAATGTATGAAAAATTTGTTTAAAACAGCCTGGTATTTTATTAGAGTTACTTACTCTTTAGCTTTTTTGTTTGTCCCATCGTATTTTCCAGTGGGGAGATGATTAATAAGCCCAAGACGCTGCGCTATTTTGATCTGCTCATCCTCTGTAAGCTGGTTAGCTAGGCGACTTACACCAGGAGATGGATGGTAGATGGGCATACGCTGTTGTGGCTCTAGCTAATGAAGGAAGATATAATGCATGCTTTTTTGTTTATTCCTTTAAATTGATTTTGAAAAAAACAAAACTTCCTTCATATTTTATAAAGAAGCTGTTAAAACAAATCTATTTTTAATGATTAAAGTATTTTAAAAAGTTCAATAGTTACATAGCAGTTAGCGAAATGGACTTCACAGAAGATTGCCAGGAATTCGACACAATAACCAAATAAACTTTAAATAAAAATATAAAAAAACAGCTTATATCCATCAACACATTTGAAATATTTCAGGGGAATAAGAGAGGGGGGGGGTTGTCTTATGAGATTTTAAAATTTTCTTAAGTTACATTGATTAACTCCGCCAAGGACGGTCCCAAGCCCAGGTGCGAAAGGAGGAGGGCTGGCTTGAGGCCAGCTACCTCACCCGTAAAAACAAACTGCTACAGAAACGACAACAAGAAAAAACCAACAAATCTCAGCCCTGAGAAGAGAGGACTCTTCAAGAAGAGCTATGAAGCCTTGTGGCCAAACCCAGGCTATTCTGGAAGCCTCCAAGCCGAAGACCCTCATTTCTAAGGAAACAAACATAGGAACGTGGAACGTCAGAACCATGTATGAAACAAGGAAAGCAGCACAGGTGGCAGCAGAAATGAGAACTTACAAACTTACATTGCTTGGCATCTGTGAAACTAGATGGATACAAGCTGGATAGATACAAGCTTGGCCTCTGGTAAATGCTAATGCCCTCGAGGCATGAGGAGGAAAATGCTCTGCATACGCAAGAAGTCGCTTTTATGTTGGCACAGGACGCACTGATTGGATGGGAAGCCCATGGACCAAAAATAATAACAGCAAACTTCCAAACCAAGAAAAAGAAAATAAATAGGCCCAGCGCTTTTCACAATGTACGATCAGCCCGTGGGTGCAGTGATCAAGCAGTTTGACTTGCTATATCACATGTTCGCGGATGACACCCAACTTCGGCAATCTGTGATCCCCTCTCAGTTCCCTCAGGTTCTTAGTATGACACAGAAGACAGTGGAGTCAGTTAAGCACTGGATGACTATAAACAAGCTTAAAGTGAACAATGAAAAGACTGAGCTGATCCCCATTGCTACTGCTCAAAAGCTAAAATGTATAAATAACACACAAACCTTTACTCTCGCAGGTATACAGATTAAGTTTGCTAAAACAGTGCGAAACCTGGGTGTCTATTTAGACAGAACACTAACTATGGAAAATCACATTAACATGCTTTGAAAGGCAATTTTTCTAGAACTGCGCAGAATTAGTCACATCAGACCTTTCTTAACGTTAGATGCATCAAAGAAGCTGATGTCTGCATTCGTGCTATCACGGATGGACTACTGCAATGCTCTTATGGTGGGTCTTCCAGCTACGCTCCTAGATAAAATTAAAAAAGCACAGAATAATGCGGCTCGCATTGTTCTTCGCAAACGCAAATTTGACCATGCTAAAACACTTCTGACAGAGTTGCATTGGCTGCCGGTTCACGCTCGCATAGAGTACAAAATTGCAACTCTGTGCTACCACTGCTTGCATGACCTGGCACCTTCTTATCTCAAAGAGCTGCTGACGTCTTATTTACCCACTAGACAACTCCGCTCATCTGATAGCAGCAAACTCCCGATACCATGTGTTCACATTGAGATATACGGAAGGCGCACTTTTGCATTTGCTGGTCCAACAATTTGGAACACCCTTCCTGTCGCTCTCAGAAACAGCCAGACAGTGGAGTCTTTCGAAACTGATTTGAAGACTTATCTATTTCGCAAACACCTGCAGGGGTGATGTTGTCTGTCTAGCTATTATCTTGTAGATGTATATTGCCCTGTGTTGTTTATGGTTGCAAGGTATGAAAGACTTAGAATGGGTATTCTCGTATGTAGTTTTTGTAATGTTGCATTTTGTACTTCAATGTGGTATATTATAGATTGTTTCATTTCTCTTTTAATATACTAGACTATGTACCGCGCTTCGAGCCTTTGGGGATGAAGCGTGATTTTCAAATAAACTTTATTATTATTATTATAATTCAGTGTTACGCACCCACCAACGATAGCAAAGAAGACGAGAAAGAAACATTCTACAATAGACTACAAGCAATAATAGAAAAATTCCCAAGTAAAGACCTGAACATTTTAATGGGAGACCTAAATGCCAAGATTGGAAAAGACAACAATGGGTATGAGGAAATCATGGGACGCCATGGTGTAGGAGAGAAGAATGAGAAAGGAGAAAGACTAGGAGACTTCTGTGCAACAAATGAGCTTGTTATCATAGGCAGCCAATTCCAACATAGAAACATCCGCAAGATAACATGGGTATCCTCGGATAGCAAAACACAAAACCAAATAGATCAAATATGTAATAGAAAAAAAATTAGATCTCTACAAGATGTACAAGCAAAAAGAGGAGCCGATGTCGCATCAGATCATCATCTTGTTTGGGCAAGGCTTAGTTAAACTGAAGAAAAACTAGAAACAGCCAGCTGCTGAATGAACAAAATTCAACATGGTACTAGTGACAAACGAGCAGAAACAAGAAGAATTCAGTGCCGCCTTAAGAAATAAGTTCCAAGCACTGGAAGACCAAACAGAAGATGACCAGGTAGAGCACAAGTGGCAAAAGATAAAGATGGCTGTAACATCCACTTGCCAAGAGGTTTTAGGATCATTAAAGCAGAAAAACAAAGACTGGCTCTCACTTGACACACTGCAAAATATAAAAGAGAGAAAAGAAATGAAAAGTCTAGTTAACAGCAGCCGCACCAGGGCGGAGAAAACAAAAGCGCAAGAGAAATATAAAGAAGCAAATAAAAAGGTCAAAAAAGCATCAAAAAAGATATAAATGCCTACAGAGATGGTCTCGCAAAAACAGCAGAAGAAGCAGCCAGGAAGGGTAACTTGAAAGAGCTCTACAACATTACAAGAAAGCTGTCAGGAAGATACAAAAGGCCGCAGAGACCTGTTAAAGATAAAGAAGGCAGATCAATAACGGAAAGGAAAGAACAACAAAAAAAGATGGGTGGAATACTTTAAGGAATTATTAAACAGACCCCCCACTAACAGACACACCAGACATACAACCAGCAAATGAAGACTTACAAATAGAATAAAGCGCACCAAATAAGGAAGAAATAGCTCTGGCCATCAAGCAGCCCAAATTAGGGAAAGCACCATAACCGAATAAAATCACAGCAAAGATGATGAGAGCTGATTTAGATACAATGGTCAACATGCTGCACCCTCTGTTTGAAAAGATATGGGAAGAAGAGAGAGTTCCCAAGATTGGAAAGAAGGATACCTCATATTATTTTGAAAAGAATGAGAGACCAGGTCCACATGCAGCTACGAGATCAACAGGCTGGCTTTCTCTGAAACAGATAATGCACAGATCAAATTGCAACATGCAGAATCTTTGTAGAACAGTCCATCGAATGGAACTCCCCCCATATATAAATTTTGTAGACTACAAAAAGGCCTTTGATAGTCTGGACCGACAAACCTTGTGGAAACTTCTTAAGCACTATGGAGTACCAGGAAAACTAGTCAGGATCATTCAGAGTTCTTATGAAGAAATGACTTGCAGGGTGGTCCACGAAGGTAGACTCACAGATGACGTAAAAGTGGAAACTGGAGTGAGACGTGGATGTATCTTTTCCCCTTCCTATTCATCCTTGCCATTGATTGGATAATGAAAAAATCCAGACAAGAGGAACGGGATACAGTGGACATTCTGGGAACAACTGAATGACCTAGACTTTGCAGATGACATTGCACTTCTGTCCCACAATCAGCAACAAATGCAGGAAAAGACAAAAGACGTAGCCACCAATTCAGCACAGCTCGGACTCAATATAAATAAAAGCAAGACGAAGATCATCAAGGTAAACTCAGCCAACCAAGAGCATATCTCTGTGGCAGGAAAGGAACTAGAAGAAGTGGAATCCTTCACATATTTAGGCAGCACCATCAACATTAATGGCGGATCTGAGGCGGATGTAAGGGCCAGAATTGTAAAGCCTAGATCGGCATTTGTGCTATTAAAGAAAATATGGGAGTCGAAGGAGCTAAAGCTACAAACCAAAGTCAGAAGCTTCAACACTTATGTCAAAACAGTTCTACTATATGGAGCAGAAACTTGGAAAACAACAGCGAGCATTACACAGAAAGTACAGGCCTTCATAAAGACATGCCTTAGAAAGATCCTGAAAATCATATTGCCAAATACCATCACTAACAAAGATCTACTAGAAAGACTTACCAGGTGCCCAGTGATGAAGACATCATAAAGAGAAGATGGAGGTGGATAGGGGATACTCTCCGAACCCCCCCCCCCCTATAGCTCTCACCAGAAAGTCTCTAACATGGAATCCCCAGGGAAAAATAAAGAGAGGAAGGCCAAAGAATACATGGAGACGAGATCTAGAGGCAGACACGCAAAATATAGCATACACCCGGAAGCAACTGGAAAGGAAAGCACAGGACCATGATGAATGGAAAATTCTTGTGGACAGCCTTTGCCCCAGACGAGGTAAAAAGGCATAAGAAGAAAGAAGAAGAAGTTACATTGATTCAAATTATAGGAAACAATGAATAAAAAAAGCAATTAACTGAAGTCACAATAAGTTGTGAAGCAGAATGCAATATTGGGTCACATATTTGGGATCTTTCAATGTATTCTCAACTGTTCCACACAACAAGGTCAGAATGTCATATTTTATAAGATCTTGGCAGCATTTGAAATCCAGTTTTTGAAAGGTCAGTGCTACTCTCAATTTATAAGATTGGGTTCCAGCACCTGAGCTATATTTAATACTAACAACCATACTGCAAAAATGGGATCAATTTACAAAACTATTATGGGATCTGCACATGGGCAAATGTGTTAATTAATATTTATAGCATAAAACACAGAAGCAAAGATAAGCCAACCCATATATTCCTTTCAAAGCAGCATTTATCTGTTTTTGGAAATGTTCAGTACAGTTAAACACACGTAGACCAAGAGTACCTGTCTTAAACATCATACTGTTTGTTCATCAGCTTTGAATTCCTTGACTTACATAATAATTTTTTAAAAGTCTGGGTTTTAAAAATATCTTATTTTCTTTAGTACATATTGCCTCCAGTGGCATATTTTATGATTTATGGGGTTGGTTTATGAATGAACAGGTTTTAGAAGGAGTATAGTATATATTATATATGTGTAGCCGAGTGGTGACGTAGCTTACAGTTTACATAAAAACACAATAAAACAATCAGGTCTGAGAACTATAGCTTTTTAATTAATGTAAGGTACAATCCGTTGACAGAGCCGACATGAAAATCTCTCACACCTGCCCTCGACCCGACGCATCCGTCCCACACCACAATCTCAAAAGTTGTACACACCTCAAGTCCCAGTTCACCCCCCCCTCCCACACACACACACACACAGTCACAGGGAACCCGCGTCCGAGCTGACCATGGGTCAACCCAGGAGCAGGGATGGTTATTCCCGCGTGTAAATAACCTAGATAAAATTTAAGGCCAGTACACGGCTGAGTGTTACGTTGAATGACCATGGATAATGGATGTGTACGTGCTTGGGGTTACCCATAGCAGTCACACTATAACTATGAGAGTGGCTTCTCTTATATAGTGGCACATTGCCACATCCACCCCAACTGTTTAAACTGTTTGTAATAAAAATTTAGAGAACTATCGAATATTTAAAAACAAATTAAAACACTTAGCATTAACAATAACTAGGACTAGTGTCTTTTTGTGCCACGGCGATGCCAAGTGATCTGCGTGGTATAACTGGTGGAGGTACTATTGGTGGAGGTACCACTGGTGGAGGTACCACTGGTGGAGGTACTACTGGTGGAGGTACTACTTGCGTTGTGGTCACGTGTTTACCTCGTGAGTGTGATGAATGTTGGGGAGCAGTAATGACAGGTACACATGTGTCATGCCGTTGTGGTGAAACCTGTCTTGATGGGATAGCATCTAAACTGGACACGCTTGATTTTGAGTCGTAACTAAATGTCCTTGTTTGTGAGGATGAGCTAATATCGTTCAGGTGCCCTGTACTCATTGTACTGGAAGTTGGTGGTGGCGAAACCACGGTAGGGATTGAATCCTCTGTGGTTTGATGGGCTTCTTCCATTGGATCACTTTCATTTTTTAATAAAATTTCAGATTTCTCAAAAACATTCAGAAGTTCTCCCTTAGAATTAAAAACGTGTGTCTTTGTTTTTAGTGTTACTGTGTGGGTCATGATAACGGTTCTTCTCTCAACATCTGGGCAAACTGCCGGTTGTTTTGGTGCAACACTAACAGAACCATCCTGTAAAACAGTGTCAGAAAAATTAACTGTTGATCTCTTCCTAATATTTCGACGGTCAATATGACCAGCTGTATTAGTCACACTTTGGGGTTGAAGTTTAAGAATCGTATTTGCGTCTGAGTTTGTGGATCGCACATTCTCAGATTTAGTTCCAACAACAGTAGGGCTAAACTGACCAGGTTCTCTTACATATGTTGACACATGCTGACCAGCAGTCGGCTGGTCGTGAGCAGCATCATGACCAAATGGCATCTTGGATTTCCTTTTTGACCGTCGCCTCTTGGGGTGTTGTGGTTGTCCATTCCTTGGAGAAATGTAATTTTTCTTGGCACCACATACCTGCTCTGTGTGACCTCTACGACTACACCAACGACATAACACATCCGTGCGTGTGGTTTGTCGCTTGCGCTTATGTCGTCGCTGATGTGTAGGTGCTGGTGTAGACTCGGTAAAACGGACGTCGCAGTCCCTTTCAGGCGATGGAGGGTTATACCTTTCTGCCCTGGCTGCCACTTGATGGTCAATACGAGCCATAAGTTGTGTTGTCAGCCGGGTCAGGTAAGGTGACGGTGATGCTGAGAGCTGGGCGGTGGCGACATCAGAAATGTACTCACGCATCCACCGTTGTGCTTCCCTACGGACGTCATCAAATGAGCGGCTAGTGTGTAGCCTTGCGTAGGCCTTGACATCTCTGCGTAGTGTGGGTGGTTGGAGACCTTGGATGAATACGTCACGCAGTATGTCTTCTGGGAGAATGCCAGGTCGTGCAGAATTAGCTAACATGAAGATGTTGCGCAATTCTTTCGCATATTCCTCGACAGTTTCCCCAAGGTATTGTTGTCTACGGTAGAATGCGGCCGCTAGAGTTGTGACGTCACGATGATCACCCCAGTTCTGCAAAATCAAGTGCAGTAGTTTATCTGGAGTGTCTATCGTAGCAACAGCTTGGTCCAAAATGTCCTGACGAGCACGTCCCTCCAGGGCACCTATTATCCAGATGACCGCTGAGGCTGCGGGCATCGGCTGAAGTTGCAGGAATAACCTTACTTCCTTCACAAACTGCTCTGCATTGCACTCGCCATTAAATTTAGACAGCTTGGGTGGACTGTTGGCTAGGTGAAACTGTTCTACTGCACTTTTCTCCATCGGTCGGTCTTACTTCCTTCACAAACTGCTCTGCATTGCACTCGCCATTAAATTTAGACAGCTTGGGTAGACTGTTGGCTAGGTGAAACTGCTCTAACGCACTTTTCTCCATCGGTCGGTCTATGTGTGTTCTGTCTATGATTGTGTTACCTTTTCTTTAAAACTATCCTCAAAGAATCCTGCCGCCAACGCCAAAACTGTAGCCGAGTGGTTGGGTTGACTTAGGTGACAACGCCAAAACACTGTAGTAGTGTGGTGTGTAGGTGATCCTGCTCAAAACGCCCAAAAACTGTAGCCGAGTGGTGATGTAGCTTACAGTTTACATAAAAACACAATAAAACAATCAGGTCTGAGAACTATAGCTTTTTAATTAATGTAAGGTACAATCCGTTGACAGAGCCGACATGAAAATCTCTCACACCTGCCCTCGACCCGACGCATCCGTCCCACACCACAATCTCAAAAGTTGTACACACCTCAAGTCCCAGTTCACCCCCCCTCCCACACACACACACACAGTCACGGAACCTGCGTCCGAGCTGACCATGGGTCAACCCCGGAGCAGGGATAGTTATTCCCGCGTGTAAATAACCTAGATAAAATTTAAGGCCAGTACACGGCTGAGTGTTACGTTGAATGACCATGGATAATGGATGTGTACTATGAGAGTGGCTTCTCTTATATAGTGGCACATTGCCACATATGGTATTATCAGTATCAGCCTACATTTAATTTTACTTTAATTAATAATATTAAAACCAATTCCAATCACTGAATATTGATAGACATATTGTTCACACATAGCCTGTCAAAACAAAAAGTTAGAGGACAGAAGAGCAATTAGGTTTGTCCCTATTCATTCTTAGTCTTAGTCTTAGCATCCTGCCCAGTTTCTAATTACTAATTACTAATACTAATTACTAATATTAATATGAACTGAACATCTTTGTGGGTTATACTACAATTCAGTTAGCCCTACTATCACGATAAAACGAAAAGGCTTTTGAACTACTGAGGCCTCCAACAAGGCACAAACAATCCCGATTGTGAGTCCACTGTTGATTTATATCAAACTAATACTATTATTATGAATATGAATCATTATATTACGAAAACAAACAAAAAAAGTAAAAACCTGTGATCTGTAAGGAGGTGGGGGTTCAACAAACGGTGCTGGTTCTAGGGCAGAGTCATGGTGATCACCACCTCGAAGAAGAGAAATGTCATCATTATTAGATGATTTGAAACAGTTACCCATTTTCTATAACCCTTGTTCCTTTGTTCAGTTTAGTTCATCAATCGCATAAATGGCCTTGGTATATGTCAGGGAATGACGTCATGTCCTTCTCAGCTGGGCAAAACCAAAACATACGCCTTAGCACACACTTATTACAGCTGTAGTCTGTAGTAATTCAAGACTATTATAAAAATAATGTCAGGAAAACAGCACATTTTTTTATTTAGTGAAAGAACATGTTTTTAAAATAAGAAAATATTTTTTTAAAGATTTTTGGTAAAGATAAATGTTTTCAAAACATGCGAACTATTTTTACTTATAAACAAAGGTGTGTGAGTGTGTAGTGAGTTAATGGAATAGCTATTTAAGAATTTGTAATAGTTTCGTAAATTTATATACTTCAATAAAATAAAATATAAATATCACAAAAAAGAAACAATAAACAATGGATATCTAAATAAGAATATTTCAAATGACAAATACGGTAAAATGCATTATCAATGCTAATTACCAATATTAGTTTCGAAAGAACGTTTCCGTATAGCCAATTTGAATTGGGATTAAAAATAAGTTTTCTTCGCCAAATTTACTAGTCTACTATTTTCAGCTAAGCTACAGCTCCTTCAAATGAATGCAGAAATTCTTTTAAACATTAAAAATATTTATGAATAGCTAATTTATAAACTCTACTGTACTGGATGTACTATGTTTCCAAATCTTGAAGATGCTGGAATTTATAATTATAAAAAATATAATCTGAATAAGCCTCAACCACTTTGCTCATATTTATGCTACTCAATGACCTATACTATACAAAATATCAATCTACTCTTACCGTCTCCTACCATCTCTCCATTTCATGCTCCCAACCAATTCCTACATAGCCCCCAAAACACAACAAAATAACCCTCGATCACCCAGGATCCACCCTCCCCCACATTATCCCTCCAACTACAATTATATTATTTACAATCGATTTCATTAAATTAATATTGCAATACTGAATATTTCAGTTTAGTTACTGATTGCTCCCTTCACAACTTAAAAGGTAGGACGTTAAAAATTATGAATAACAAGCAAAAATAGAAGCATTTGTTTTTTTCAGTTAATAAAATTTAAAAAAAATACTTTATTCAATAGTCACAAATCAATGCTTAATATTTTGCAATAACCTACTAACTAAGTCATGACCCACTAGAGTAGTTCTAGTAGGTCGTGACTAAGTGCACAAAATATTACTTGTATCCTCACATGACATTTGTACAATATGATTTGGGTAGTATCTGAAATATTTATTGCGATAAAACATGACCAACAACTTTAATATCTTAATATGTATTTCAATATTATAGGTTTTATTTAGAATAAAATAACTTAGAGATCCTGCTTAGGGGCCGTCCATAAAGTACGTCACGCTATTTTTGACCATTTTACCCCCCCCACCTCCCCCCTGTCACAAACTGTCACAAATCTTAGACCCCCCCCCAACCTAAAGTACGTCACCTAAAGTACGTCACGCTATTTTTGACCATTTTACCCCCCCCCCCTCCCCCCTGTCCCAAACTGTCACAAATCTTAGACCCCCCCCCAACCTAAAGTACGTCACCCTTTCAAACAATTAAAAAAAAAAAAAACACCTAATTAAAATGTAATCTAAAACACACTTCACTATTAAAATGTATTAAAATATAAAATTTCCACTTAAAAGAACTATCACATTATTAAAATTACTTTATTAGTAGAATAGTTAATTGTCAACAGTTGTCACAGTTATTCATTGAAGCAGTAACTCAATCTAGATTGAATTTGAAAACAACAATTGCAAAAATTAGACTAGACAATTATATAATACACATCATTTATCTGCTGCTTTTTCATTTACAAAAGGTGAGGTAAAGTTTTAGATACTTTCTGATTATGCGATCTTTGTACACAGGATAAGAAGTAAATTAGCGAAACTTGACCTCACCCATTGATTAAATAATAAAAAGGAAACAAAACAATTTGACTAAAAAAAGACTAGATTGACAAATTATGTGACAAAATCTTGTGCTATATTGAATCTGTTTATTATGGGCCTGTGAATTATGTTTAATTAAAAAATATTCACTGGACATCATCCATCCATGGTGAAGTGAAGTGTCATCCATAATTACGACTGGCATCAATCTTTCACCATCATCGTTTCCTGGAAGGATAATTGCAGACAAATCAACTTCATCCTCATATAGCCACTCAACATCCTCTGAATGTGCATTTTCTCTTCTGGCAATAACTGCCTTGAGTTCTCTTTGCCTTCTAGCAGCGATTCTCAAAGGACTGATGCGTTTTATCCGAGTTGATTCTGGAACAGTTTGGGTTGGCACATTTTCCTGATTTCGAGCTCTGTGTTTCCTGCATTATTCTTTGACAATGTTTGTTAGGCAAATTATAAGTTACATACTTTGCAAATTCGATCAAGTAAGCTGGTCTACAAATATGGACAATACAGATCATATAGTTGTACTTTGAAAACTCCTGTTAATCTCGGTAAGGCTACACATAAAACAAGGCTTCGCAATAGCATACTAGTGCTCCTAGCGAGAGGAATCGTGAACAACACATTCAGGAGATACGCATTTCATGCTATTTTGACATAAAACTAATTCAAATGTTTCACAAAAGTTTTTGAAAATTATTTTTAAAACTATTAAATTCTACTAAAAAAAATAAAAATAAATTAGAAATAAAAAAAAAAAAAATGTGTAACATCACAGGTGGCCTGACCCCCCTCCTCCCGTCACAAACTGACACACTTTCTTACACCTCCTTCCCCCTCCCCCAATCTGTGAGATACGCATTTCATGATATTTTGACATAAAACTAATTCAAATGTTTCACAAAAGTTTTTAAAAATTATTTTAAAAACTATTAAATTATACTAAAAAAAATAAAAATAAATTAGAAATAAAAAAAAAAAAAATGTGTAACATCACAGGTGGCCTGACCCCCCTCCTCCCGTCACAAACTGTCACACTTTCTTACACCTCCTTCCCCCTCCCCCAATCTGGAGCGTGACGTACTTTATGGACGGCCCCTTACTAATCTTCACTTACTTAGGGGGTTTCTGTCCTTTTGGTGTATAGTGTATTCTTTGGCTTTTAAAAAATCCGCAAAGACCTGCTATCTTTACAGTACTAAGTATTAAAAAATATTAGACATACAGACATATTTTTTTGATACAATTCATTCAACAATTTGTTTTGTCGTATAGATAGAAAGGGTTGGAATAGTTGTACATTTTAAGGCTAATATCATGTATCGCTTGCTGAAAATTGTAAACTTCCGGGCATCATGTACAACTTACTAACGTTTTCTGTTTTGCCTTAAAATAATATTATCATTCGATACTTGTAGATTGATAAATTATAAATTCGATTGACATTCATAATTTTAAGAAGAAACAAGCATTTAATTATTATTATGTTAATATTTTTTAAAATTTGTTCAGCAATGAGCAACATTATGCACACAAACTTTCAGTGTCGAGTGTAGAAAGTCAAAGAAAAAGTAGCTGTTTTCGATAAATAATATTTAAAAAAAACCCCATAAACTGTAGATCCTATCAGGGATAAACCTACTCTTTAGTTTCAGCATGCTAATTAGTTTTAGTCCTAAGCCTATATGCATTAAAAATTTAGATATATATATATATAACTTAAATAGTTCAGATAGGCCTACCCTAACTTACCCTAAGTAATAAGATCAGTCTAAGTAAGTAGTAAGTCAAGTCTAAGTATTAAGTTAAAAAATCCATTACAAAATTTATTGTATCATAGTTAATGGACTTATTGTGAGACTGGTGTGAAATTTTATTTAAATTTAGGGTTATGATCATGTCACATGTCAATGTTGTACATTTTATATAATATTATATTGGCAGTGTCTACACTATGTGTCCGGCGACCAAGTCACATGACCGCCGTAAAAAAGTGGCGAGAGATATCTTGTCGGTCAGCCTTGTCACGTGACTGCGAATAATTCAAAACTATTGTTAATTTTAAAACCTATTTCTCTACCAAGTAATGTACTGAGTATCTTGAATGCAAATAATAGAAAAAAAAAACGTAAGTGAAAGTGGCTTGTAAACATTTTTGTTTAGTTTGTTATTTGAGTTTGTGTACCAGTAATCCATAAAATAAATTAGGGGCCAGTGTGGAGTAGGCGTAGGCAACCAATAAAAGTTAAAGTAAAAGATTTCATTTTAAATTATTTCAATTGCTACAAAATATTTAAAAACTTCTCATGAAACTACTGTTGCTGAAGAACATGATAATATAAATATATACAAAATATTTTAATTAAAATGGGAAGAAAAAAAAACGACCCTATCCCCGGTATAGATCCTCAAACCTTCCTATCGTCAAGCAACCACTCTACCACAAGACCAGACAAGATGTACTAAACCGTACTTCGTTTGGAATTATAAAAACTACTAGCCGTCCGGCCATGTCCGGCGGTCACGTGACAAGCCGCCGGACGTATATCTTGCGCACTACACGTCCGGCGCGGTGTAGACACTTCGTATTATATTATATGCTATTACAATTAGTATTAATTATTAGGCTGTAGGCATGGTATTGTAAATAATCTATTGTAGATGTAAAAGTTAGATCAACATTTTGTTTAAAAAAACATTAAAATAGAAAGTTTTGCTAGCATCAAATAGATCTAGGAAATTATAACAAACAGTATTATTAGTATGTAGTATGTAACTATATATTGTTGTGTGATTTTGATTGATTTATTTATAATTAATGAATGGTTAGTTTAGTATTTGTAGACTTTGTTATCTGAAGCAGTCACTCATTAAATGTTTACCCAATACATTCTTTGTGACATATCAAGTAAGGAAAACAAAAATATTATAACTGTGTTGAATTCAAATGCAAGTAAATGAAACTAAGGTTTTGTAGATTGCTAAACACAAAAATGTTTTCTTATCTAAATTATTATTAATAATAAAAAAACCAGATTGTCATTCTTCCAAGGCAGAAGAAATGGAGGGACAAGTCAAAATGGAAATAAAGGAGGAAAAAATTCCCAAAACTACAAATAAAAAATCTACTGCTATCACGGTAGAACAAATTCAAGAAGACAGAATAACTGAGGTATTATTTTAACTAATTCACGCTATAAAATTAGTCAAGCATTGGCAATTTTGGGACTAATTTTATTGTGGATGTTTGGGTAATAAAATATAATGCCTGTTTTTTCAGCTTGCTTTCAAAAATTGGAGCCCAGATGCAACAAAAAATGGTGTACAGTTTAAACCACAGGTAATAAAAAAATATTAACTGTTATTTAAACAATTTTTAAATAACAACTTTTTTAAAGTGTGACATACAAAAATACTAAAATGCTAATTTTTTTTCCTTAAGTAAAAGAAGTAATTCAAAATAATAATTGGTCATGATAAGGACAAACATTTATATATCAATAAATTATTCTTTCTCATTAATTATGTTTGTCAATCATGTTTTGTATCTTTGACTTTATTAGTTATTTAGAATTTAAAATATAAAAAAAAACGAACTATTGTTAGGATCTGATGTGGAATGGGGCACTGATGTTTCTTGTCATAACATTAAATTTTAAGTATGTCTAATAACAGTATATTTAAACTTGAAGTAGATTCTTTGCTTTTTGCTGACAGCTTATTTTTAATATCTTATACTTAACATTTTTTCTTTTTAAGATTATTGATGAAATATACCATACAGAGTTAATTGGATCAAAGTAAGTTAAAGTGTCCAGGCAAGCAATGAAAATAAATTTTCATATTTTTTCATTTCTGGTTTAAGTAGACTGGACTAGCAAGATCATCTGCTCATATTAGTTTGAAGTAAAGTTAATCTTATTAAAATATGTAGTGAATTACTTACTCTGAAAATTTCACTAAAAAAGTAGTATTTAAGACTGTTATCTGGGATTATTCTTTTGAGATAATTTAGGTGGAATTTTTCCATAAGATGTAGAAATTTTGCTTTTGGTAGTACTTTTGAGGATAACCCATTCCTATAATAATTTTTTTTGCCATTTAGCTTTTCAACTAAAAGAATTATGATGCTAGAGTTCAGCAGATACCTGGAAAATTATCTTTGGCCTAATTACAAGAAAGGAAAGGTAATTACCACAATTGGTGACGGCAACTCCCTCCATTGGTGGCACAAGTAAAAAAGAATAAAAAATAAAAATAAAATCATTACTTTACTCATCTGAAAATCTTAATGAAAGTTAATGGTTAAAAATGGGAATACAAGGGATACAATATCTTTAATAAGTTTGTTTTTAACAATGCTCAAATGGTTTAACAACATACACTTGCAGTTCTTAAGCAGTAACCTCACTTTGAGATACAAACCTCACTTTGAGATACAAATCTCATTTATTCTTTTAACGCTTGTTTCTCAGGCCACAAAGACTCATGTAATGTCCATTGCTGCTGTCATTAATGAAAAATTCAGGGAGCGGGTTCCAGCATGGGAGGTAATAACATGTTTGTCATTCTTTTATTAACTATAATTACTATAATTTTAAATGGTAAAGTATCCCCTAAAGTGTCTGAACTTAGAAACCATGCAATACAATTGGATTTCCTTTTGGTGATGTTTTTTTATTGAAAGCCCAATGCATTTTGATAATAAGCTGTTTGTAATTGTCATAAGGAAGCATTATTGTTTAATCTGTTACTTATTTGTGGAGAATAATTTCCATCTTTAATAATTTTGCTTGTAGCAGTTAAGTCAATCAAATATTTTCTTTCATATTAAATTCTTGTTTGAATCATGTAGCTAGTGTTTGTTAGACTTGACTTTCAAAGCCACCAATATTTTCTTTCATATTAAATTCTTGTTTGAATCATGTAGCTAGTGTTTGTTAGACTTGATTTTTAAAGCCACCAATATTGTCCAAGGTGAATTGTTCTTGTTGAAGTTAAATTAAAAGAGGTTAAAGATGTTAACTTTATAATTTTTAATTTTTTTTTGAACATCAGGCATTCAAGGCACTCCCTGATGAATTCCCTCACCTATTTCGGCATGTTCTTGATCTCTGCCTCAGTTCTTCCACATTAAGCTACAAGGAGACAGCAGTGCTGCTTATATTTATTATCCATTGCTTTAACAGTTTGGTGAGTTCTTCAACAACACTCACGTACCATAATAACAGATTTAAGTTTAATGTTAATGAGACAACCTCACCCTACTTTGTTCCCCTTCCAATCTTATTACATTTTCATCCAAAATTAAAGTATACTTAATTTATTGAAACTAACTTGGGGATATTTGATTGGTGTTGTATAATCATGAACTGGCGTAATGAAACCAACTTTTATTTTCAAACTATTTAGGAGGTTGATTTGATCCGAGAAAGAGTTCAGAGGCTTGTATCACTACCTATATGGACCAACCTTTTACCTGTAAGTAATTGGAAACAAATCAGAGCTTTTTCTCTTATGGCTCTTTATTTTCCAGACCTGTAACCTTGCTAAATATTTGGATCCACTATTATGTTTTGAGGAATTCATCTGTTCTTAGCTGTTCCACTAGAAACCTAAAACATGGATCCTTTCTTTTGTTTCAAATTCCATTCCTGTATATTAATTGTAATAAAAGAAATAATTTGACTGATTAGTTACAAAAATGCACAGGTATTTTTGGTCATAAGATTAAATTTTTAGTTAAATATTATCATCCATAGCAAATACTTAAAACTGACTACCTTGAAATTAGATTCATATTGGTTTTGAGCACATTACCCTTTAGTGATATCTTATTTATCTCACAAATCTTAAAGAATTCATTTCTTTTAGAAATAATTTTATGTTAAATTTTGTGTGTGTTCTTCCACCAGTCATCAAGGATTATTAAATACTTTTGGCGCACAATATTTTGCATTTTGGCTTAATTTAACTTGTCTTCCACTTAGGTATTTAATTTTACATTTGCTAGCCTTCAATTTTTAATAACAGGGTCAGAGAGAAGCTTTGTTCAAAGTTAATCCAAAATACAGAAAGTTTTACAATGCTATCAAGAAGAGAGACAGCAAACTGCCACCTGAAGAACTTGAGGTTGTTCAGTTTGAAAGAAACTTTTTAGCCAATCTCATTGAAAAGTTCTACGGCATCTTAGACTCCATCCCTTTTAAAGGTATGTCATGAAAAAAATACACTTTGAGCCTATTGTATTTAAAATGTTCATTAATTACAAATACTTCGAAATTAAATGAATACATTAAAAAAATATATTTACATTCATCAAGACATGTCAAATTTAAGCTGATCTATTTTTTGAATATGTTTTAAATACTTTCCTTCCATTCTTGATTACAAATTGTTTCAGGTCATCATGTTTGTAAATTTAGTGTGAAATTATTTTTAAAATGAATTATGGCTTAACAGTGGTAACAACCAGTTGTCCGGCTCATCAAAGAGCATTCTTTTTGAACATCATCTTTCAAACTTAGCCTCAGCTGATCCAAACAAGATGCATTACTGTGAAAGGTTTCTGGAACTCCTGATTGACATTGAAGCTCAGCTACCAACTAGACGTTTTGTCAATGCTCTGATTGATGACAGGCATGTGGTCGTTAGGTGTAAACTCTCCCAGTTGATTCTACGGCCCGAGGGCAAACTGTTTGGCCAGGTAAGAAAGTTAAAGTAGAAATTATTTTTCTGATTTGTGATAGTTTTAAAGTTTATTTGTGTTAAACACTCATTTGATAGATGTCAATCTTAGTTTGAACATTTAAAGCCACCAAAAGTCACATAACATTCAAAGTGACACTACAATCAGCCCATCAGCAAAATAACAAATTAGTTATTGAATAGTAATTTAGACAACGGTTGTTGTTTTCTTTTTTCCTGTAAAAAAACAAAAATTTCAATCAGTTTTACAGATAAAGGAAAAATGATATGTAGAAAAGCATTAATTCCCTGTTGTGAAAACCTGCTTAAGAGTTTGGTAAAGTAATAATATTTTTAAAAAATTATATATAATCCTTATTTTTGTTGAATCATGATAACATTATTAATCAATTTTCTGTCAGCTGTTAGAGATGCTGGAGTCCTATGCTCAGTTTGAGATAGATGAGATCACTGGTGAAGCCCTCACCATGCATGACAGAATAGACCTCCATTACAACAGGGTGAATGCCCTTCAGGTAAAAGACTTTAGATGTTGTTCTAGTGGTATACTCCTATTGAGAGGCGTCACTAGGGAAGGTTTCAACCGGTGCCTTAAACCCATGGTGTCCAAACAAACCCCCCCCCCCCCCCCCCCCCCCGCGACCTGTGCTGAGTAATTCTTAACCACATCAATCAAAACCGTTTATTGTTTTGTTGTTAAAAAGTCTTAAAGCCACTAAATATATAAAAAGAAAACAAGATTAAAAGCCTTTTAAAAATGCAGCAAAATAATTTTTATTGAAACATTTAACTTTACTGTTAAAACTTTACTTTTCCTAGTCTTCAAAGATGCAAACATCTCAATCACTTCATCAAAATCAACATTTTTTACCATATCACTTTCAAATTGACAAAATGACTGGACCAAAGCCGGGACTTTTCCCATGGTAGATCTTAAATAGTTATTTATAAGTTTCGTATTTGAAAGGCTCCTCTCACATGATGCCACAGACACAGATTATGAGAAATAACCGTAGGCTTAATGAGAGGATTATGAAGGATTCTGAAGGATTCCAAGAAATCCCATTCATCTATGCATTTCAAAATTTCATACCTTGACCAATCTTTGGCATCCTCGAGACTAATATCTGCTGCATACAGGGGCCTGCGCAGTCTTGACATTTCAATTAAACGTTCACTCTCAGATAACTCGTAGAAAGTGGTCAGTCTTGGAATGGACACCAATAACTCTTTCTTCAGTCGCCAACAGTAGAGCCTTAGCTGGAACAGCCCCGAACATTATTTGCTACTTCCTGATATGGAGTTCAGAATGAAAACAATCAATACACTCATATTGCCCCATTATTTCCTTCTTGCAAAGTCAGTCCAGTGTTGCTTGCTTGCTCCCCTGGTATTTTCTTCTTGCAAAGTCAGTCCAGTGTTGCTTGATTGCTCCCCTGGTATTTTCTTCAACCCGTCTAGACTTCCCCCACAAACCCCCTCCGAGACTGGAAGCTGGGTGGCACCCAGCCTTAGAGGCACCCTGCTCTGGCGGAATCTTGTTCATTTGGCACCTTGATCTGTTTGCAACCTACTCTGATGGCACCCTCCTCTGTCTGGTTACAACCTGTTCTGGTGGCACCCGGTTCAGACAACACCTTGTTCTGGTGGCACCCTCTGTTTGCACTCTTTTTTTGATGGAAGACCTGCTCTGTGTGGTTATACTCTGTCCTAGTATGGCACCCTGTTCTGGTGGGATCCTGCTATGGTGGCATTCTGTTGTATTTAACTGAGTTCTGTTATAAACCGACTGGAGTGAACTCAAACTTGCATTTTCTATTGGCTGTCACCCCTGCTGTAAGGGTGTCGCCTGGGCCCCCCACACCCCCTTCTTTTGAAAGTAGCAGTAATTCTTGTGACAGTGAAATAGAGCTTTTCAATTTAATATGCTTAGAATATTAATTTAAAGAATAAGTTTCATTTCATGGTGAAAAACTGATTTGTTCTTTTCATTTACAGACTGTTGTTTTTAAGCATTATCCAGATTTACAGAGCTTTGCTATAAAAAATGTTGCAAGTGTTGACTCTAAGGATTCACTAATCAAACACTTTGAGCCACTCAAGTACGTTTGTGGCCATGGCTAAGTTAAATGCCTACTAACATACATAATTAATCATTGTGTGTTTAACAACAATAAAGACAAGTATTGAGAAAAATTCCACAATATTCACCTTAATTGATTAAAAAATTTGTTACTTAAAGAAAGGTGTTAAATTTTTTAAAATTTTCTTGATTTTGAATTCCTTTTTTTTTTGTGTTAATATTTCCTCAAAAAAAAACCAAAATAAATGAATTGGCAGGTATTTAAAACATTGTAAGGATTATTACTCATGTATAGTCAACAAAATAGGTGGCCCTTATCTTTGTTTATTGGATGAGTATACTCAGACTCATTTCAAATACTTCATTTATGTTCCCAGTGCTGAAGACTTACATCGAATACTGGCACACCTAAACTACTTACCCCCACTTGAAGAGGAGACCACACAGTACTCAAAAACCTTCCTTATAGAGCTTCTGGTGAGTAACTTCTTGATTTACCGGACAAGACACAGATTTTTAATGAGTAAAACTTGTTGAATCTGATTTAAATCTAGAAAGAACATTTTAATTGTGTAACTAAGTGAAAAAAAAAAATTACACATTTTCTCTTGTCTTTTAGAATTTAATTTTTTATACATTCATATAATTTAAGATTCATATTTAGAATTTTAAGTTAAACTTAGCTTCCAATGTGTCGGGCATTATGGATTTTGTGTATGTTAAAGTTTGAAACTTGTTTTAACATTTAACCTCTGTCCTTTCTAAAACGGATTTTTATATTCATTACTTTAAAACTTCCTCTGTTTACAGGACCTGTAATGATCTAGAAATTGTATTTAAATGTAAATTTTAAATTTATTATGTAGATTTGGAAGCATGAGCGTAAAAGATCACAACTGGAAGCCATCAACGAAATGCCACTTTACCCAACGGAGGACATAATTTGGGATGAGAACATTGTTCCATCAGAATTCTTCTCTGGAGAAGGTAGGTTTTAAAAGATGCTCATCCTTGTGATTGTTATAGATGGCTAATGATGATTGAATTTCTAAGTTTTAAGATGACGACTATCTTAAAAGAACTTGTCAATTGTGTGAAAAGGGGACTTAAATGTTGAAAAAGACAACTAAAATGTCTTGCAATTTGGCCAAAAACAAAATATTTATTGCATAAAAGTATCATGATCAGAATTATAATGCACAAAGTTTCAGTTAAGATATTTTTTCACTGTTTTTCTCAATAGCTATCTACTTAAAACCTTTCAGCATTCATTGCTCGATTAAAAATTATTTTTTGTTTGCAATCACCTAATGATTTAAACTATCTTGATGTAATCCCAGGTTGCCTGGCTTTACCAAAGCTGAATCTGCAGTTTTTAACACTGCATGACTACTTGTTGCGCAACTTCAATCTCTTCAGACTTGAATCGACATGTGAGTGATGTTAAAATATTTAACGAAGTTGATGAATAAAGATGATATGTCAAAAGTCCAACTTGATTTTATACTTTATTCTCACAGGTAAATTTTGTTTGATAAATTATTTTCATTGGTTTACTACAGATGAAATCAGGCAGGATATTGAGGATGCAATCAATCATTTAAAACCATGGTAAGTGGGGGTATTATTGTTACTGTAGTTTGTGCTGGTGATTTAAGTGTTACTGGCTATGCTCACCCTCATATTGAATATCAAATAAGACTTGATGTAATTTCATTTCAAATCATGTCAACATTAGACTTATTTATTGTATTCAAAGCATATGAGCAATGGACATCAAATAGTTTTATTAATAAAGCTCTAAGTTTATTTTAAATTTTTTTTACTAATAATAAATTGTCAGTGCCATAAATTTTCATTCAGTTTTTTAATTAAATGTATTTATATATTAGAATAAGATATCATTTAGAATATGTAGCTGATGTATTGATATATTAGAATAAGATATCATTTAGAATATGTAGCTGATGTATTGATATATTAGAATAAGATATCATTTAGAATATGTAGCTGATGTATTGATATATTAGAATAAGATATCATTTAGAATATGTAGCTGATGTATTGATATAATGATAATAAAATCCCCAAATTTGGTTTGAAAAGTTATGTTTCATTGTATTTTTGATCATTTCTAGGAAAGCTGAAGATGGTCATTGTCTGTTTGGAGGATGGGCCCGTATGGCACAGCCAATACATTCCTTTAACATAGTGGAGGTTTGTTTTGCCATCATTATTTAGTTTCATTTTTGTCTATTTGAGCTTGAACCAGCTTTCTACAAAGTGCACTTTTTATGAGTGGTGAAAGAACTTGTTTGTTATAGCAATCTAAAAAACAAGAGACTGTTATTGATAATGTAAGCTACTTCAAAAAAAATTCTGTTTTTTATGACATAACACTGATACAAATAAATCATGTGGAATTATTTAGGTAGCCAAGCCCCAACTAGGTGAGAACCATCCGGCACAGGTGCGAGCAGATGTCACTTTGAATCTCAGTGTAAGGCCCGAGGTTAAGTTTGAATGGCAGGGTAAGTCATTTGTATCGTTATTTATTGTTAGCATACACATTTAATAAAAAGTGATTGTGACTTGTTATAGAATGGCTAATTCAAATCTTTTCTCTTAAACTGTCGATTTTTAAATAATTCCCCCACCTCTCTTTTTTTCTTCTATCACCTCTTTCATTTTTCTAGGCTTGAGGAAACATGACGTTGCTTTCTTGTTAACACTGAGACCACAAGTGCCAATTGGTTACAAATATAATCACACGCAGCCTTTCATACCACAGGTTAGATGTTCAGTTTTAACAAATTATTTTTTCTTTAATTCATTTTAAAAAAACAACTGCTAATAAACATTTATAATCCAGTTTTTAAGATGTTTGTGTTTGCGTCTGCCCTGGCTGCATTAAAGTAAAAAAAAATGTACCCCCCAACATTGAAAATGAAATGAAGAGACACCAGACTCTGATTCTCATCTTTCTTTTGTGCCAAACTTATATTTACATAGCCTCTGCTTTTGGTCTTTTAGGTTGGGCTGGTGTATGTCAGAGGATGTGAAATTGAAGGGCTGCTTGATGAAAACGGCAAACTAATTGAAGAAGGTAAGAAGATAAAGAATTCACTTGTAAAATTAGATGAAGTGAACAAACAAAAAATTTCAATAAGAGAATAACAAACTGTATAAACTTTCAAATCCCTAAATTTAAATTGAGCAATTCATCACATAATGACCTGTCACTTCCCTCAGGCCCTGAGCCCAAGCCAGAATTTCATTCAGACAATCGTACATACAGAGTATGGTTGGACCCTAATCAGTATCAGCTAGACATGACCCGCACTGTCAATGGAGAGGAGGTGTGTAACTTTTAATTAGGGCATTTTAAAAAAACCCACATGATGTATACATGCTTTGCATAATATCGGCTTGTTCAAATCTATTTATAACAGAGGTAAACATTTAAACAATGTGGTATGGATTAATTTATCAGATGTTGATTTGGATATAAATTATTATTATTATTTTGTTTTTTGAGTGGCTAACCTATAAAGTTAATAAATATTCTCAGTTATATCTGCTTCTCCTTATGAACATATCTGAATGTATGACCATTTAATTAAAAAACAGGATGTGTACGAGACATTTAATGTCATGATGCGCAGGAAACCAAAGGAGAACAACTTCAAGGCTGTGCTGGAGACAATACGTGACCTGATGAACACTGACTGTGTGGTCCCAGACTGGCTTCATGATCTCATTCTAGGTTATGGTGACCCAGACTCAGCACACTATTCAAAGTAGGTCTCCAAATTAATCAATATAATGTGTTTCCTTTTTTAATTTGTCCATCTTAATTTGTATGTTTGCAGTGCTATTGAAATTTCCAATTTTTAAAATTTAAAATTTAACTATTATTTTGGTTTCATAGGTTACTTTCTGATGAGATTTATTAATAAATTTTCAAATTTATTTAAAAAAAATGTTTTTGACAGATTTAGCATTGCGTCTTATTTACAAAACCTTGTTTAAAATTTGCTCTGCTTTTTTTGCTTCTCTCAGAATGTCCAACAGAAAGCCAACTTTAGATTGGAATGACACATTTCTTAGTCTTGAACATTTGGAAACTAGTTTCCCAGGGGCTGCTCTGACTATGACTGGTGAAAAAGAGAAATTGATACCACCTTTTAAGTAAGACCTAATGTTGTTCTGTGTTATACCATTAACTTCTTTTTTTATGTTCTCTTTTATATAATTCTGTAAACTAATACTGCTTTTTTAAAATTTTTTGAAACTTGGCAGTCAATTTACGAATAATTATTTAAAAAATCTGGAATGATTATTTAATAAAATACATTTCAAAAGCTTTTTTTAAAATGAATTTAAAAAAAAATTCTTAAAAAAAAAAAAATGGAATTTTGTTAAGCTTGAGTAAGAAAAATTAAATTTATAATTTAATTTGTAACTAAATGCAATGATGAGAAATTCACCTATTTGTACCATTGTCAAATCTTCTAAATTTCACTTTCACTTGGTAGTATTTGATTAAAAGAAAGTCTAAAAAAAAAAAAAAAGGTTTCTTTATAACTAAATTACTACCTCTGTTTTAATAACAATGCACACGATTCACAGGTTGACATTTGAGGAAGAAAAGGCTGAAGGTAAAAGGGAGTTAGATTCTGACACGGGCAAAACAACAGCAAAAGAAATCAAAGTTGTGCCACATCTCATCCCTAACAGAGGACCATATCCTTACAACCAGCCCAAGAAGTAAGTTAATTTAAATTTATTTTATTCTTTCTCTTTTAAGGCCCCACGATCAGCGTATTGATCATTCTGGCTCCTCCAGAAAAAATATTTGGTTATGTCAATCTCATGTACCAAATAAACCATATTGTAGAGAGTTCAGTCTCAGTCCAGGTGGACAGGGTGAGGGGAAAAACCCACGGCAGAGTTCAGTCCAGGTGTTTGGCGGGTAGCATATAAATTAAGACGTGGAACACAATGGAGGTCAGCGGAGCGGGGTAAACCCACAGTCGAAGACTGACCAAATAAATTAAGGCGAGGAATGCAGCGGGCAGGGATGAGGGGCAAAACCCACGGCAGAGTTCAGTCCAGGTGTTTGGCGCGTAGCAGATAAATCAAGACTTAAGAAGGTAGGGGGAGTAATCTCTAGCGACGCCTTGGTTGGCTGGTGGACCTATAAGAGGGGACGGTTAGATTGGTGACGGGGGCAACGACAGAGAGCAGACAGAGGTAGAGAACAGCGACGGTAGAGGAAGAGGGCAGTCAGAGCTGTGAGATGAATGAAAGTGTAAGCAAGTGACAGAGCCAATAAAGAACACGAGTTTACTCATCAAATGTATCACCGGAGTTGTTTCCTTATTGAGTACCAGATCTAGAGGAAGTTTGTCAGAGAGTAAGCAAGGTCTCTTACAATGGTGGCAGCGGTGGGATTGTTTTCCTTGCAACGACTCTGAAGAGACAAAATTCTTGGAGAGCCGGACTGAGATGAGAGGTGCAAGGTGTGGAAAATCTAAGGCAAGCACAATGACTTCTCAGTATTTAAACAACATCCCAACGTACAGTGGAACCTCTACATGGCACACTTTTATCGTGCAGTTTGAAACAGCTGCAAAAATCTTCAAGTGGAGCGAGGAAGAGAAACTCCTGTATTTAGGGTTTGGTTTGAAGGATTCGGCGGCTGAATTCGCTTACAGTGAATTAAGTGAAGAAGAGCGAGAGACGTACGAGAAACTTAAAGAGGCCCTCGCCAATCGGTTCCAGGATCATAGGACACCAGCTTTCTTCCAGAATCTGTTGGAAAAACGTACGTTCCTAAGAACAGAAACCAGTGCTGAGTACGCTACCGACATCAAGAAACTGGTAGCGAAGAGCTTTCCAATGGCAGACCAGGCCACAACAGATGCCATTGGTCTTAAACAGTTCTTACGTGGGCTGCCTGACCAGTCCATGGTGACACAAGTAGGCACTATGGCTGTTCCTCCCATCGTGGACAAGGCGAGAGCTGCCTTGGATGCAATCTTAAATCTGAGGGACAACGTTTGTTTACCAACACAGCAAGTGGCATCAATAGCCACCGATTACTTGGCCAGAGAGGTTAGCGGCCTGAGAGAGGACCTTAGGGAATTCATGGCCTCACAGCGAGGGGCAGTTAACCAGCCGGCACGTGAAAGGGGAGATAATCGGAGGGCGGAACTCAGATGCTTTGGGTGTGATCGAATCGGTCATATCGCACGTAATTGCCCAAACAAACGACCAGAAGGACGAAACCCTCGTCGTTTAAACTAGTTCGTATAACCGACGATGGTTATCTAGGATTCGATTTCCTATGTCACTATGACTTTTCATTTTCAATTAAAAAGGGGCTCAACCTACATAGACACAAGGTGCCAGTAATAACAAAATGTGTAAATTCAGTGATTCAACAGGACCAGTCTTATTCGTTGGTGAGAAATCTGTTTGAAAGAACAATAGAAAACGGTGAGCTCAATGAGGAAGAGAGAGAAAAATTGTGGTGTTCGTTGGAGCGGAATAGGAAAATATTTTCAACCTCATCGCTGGACGTGGGAAGGACCTCTATTATAAAACATGAGATACCGACCGGGGATGCGAGACCTATTAAAATTCCCCCACGGAGACCTCCACGAGCGTTTGAGGACGAAGTCGATGACGTCATCACCTCTCAGCTGGAGGCCGGCATTATAAGAGAGTCAAAGTCACCGTGGTCTGCCCCGTTGCACTTTGTTAGAAAGAAAAACAATGAGGTACGTGTTGTGTGCGATTATCGGGAACTAAATAAAGTGACACAGAAGGATAGTTTTCCACTTCCTCGATGTAACGAACTGATAGAGGTGATGGCTGGTGCAAAATATTTTTGTTCCTTAGATTTGCAGTCAGCTTATTATCAGATAGAAGTTGAGGAACAGGATAAAGCAAAAACGGCATTTTCCACGTTGAATGGCCACTACGAGTTGATCGATTCGAGGAGGCTATTAATAGATTGAGGCAGGCAGGACTCAAACTTAAACCGGAAAAATGTGTTTTATTTAAATCAGAGGTCCGATTCTTAGGTTACGTAGTGTCAGGAGAAGGAGTGAAGACTGACCCCGAGAAAGTTGAAACAATCAATAATTTTCCAAGGCCACAAAACGTATCTTCTTTGAGGAGCTTTCTTGGTATGGCGTCTTACTATAGACGATGGATAAAGGGGCATTCGACTATAGCTGCACCCCTTAATCGGTTGTTAGAAGGAAAGAACACTAAGATTTTGGAGTGGAATGACAAGTGTGAAGTTGCGTTTTCTCAGTTAAAGCAATGTTTGATTTCCTCTGAAGTTATGGCCCAGCCACAAAACGACGGTGGTAGTTTTATCATCGACTGCGACGCAAGTGCCACAGCTATAGGGTGTACTCTGTCACAGATGCAGTGGTCGGAGCGAGACCAGCAACTGATGGAGAGACCAATATACCACGCTAGCAAGTCTTTAAATCGAGCTGAACGACGTTATTGTGTAACCCGACGTGAACTCCTGGCAGTCGTCACCTTTGCTAATCAATTTCGCCATTTTCTTCTGGGTCGAAGGTTCATGGTGAGGACAGATCATAGCTCCCTTAGGTGGTTGTTATCCTTTCGTAACCCCACAGACCAAATAGCAAGATGGATAGAACTTTTATCACAATTTGATTTTGACATCGAACACCGGAGTGGCAAT